CCATTCGAAGAAAAAGTCGTTTATCTTCTTTGGGGAGTTCTTTTTCTGCTGGTCGTGTCTACACAACAGGCCTTCGTTTGACCAGGTTGGCTGGCGGGTCTGGGAGCTTGGCCGCTTTTCGTGCCACTGTGACCCAGGGGGACTCAGCCACTTGAGGCTTTTTCGGCAGTTCATGAGGCGGTTTCTCGTTTATCTTTGTCACCCTTGGCACAGAGGTTTTCATCTGAGTGGCTTCGGGGAAAGGGTTCTTACATGAGTTGTATGTGGCGTTGACGTTGCTTATTGCAAAAGCTGTCACAATAGGTGAAATCTTTTCAATAAAAGGCGCGATTAAGGCCGCACCATCGGTTCCAGCCTTGGATTTCGCCCAGGCGTCGATATTCTGCAGGAATTCTTGAGCTAGGCTCATTCGCTGCTTTCTGTCGCGTTCTGATTGCTCCATTGCGGCGGCAATCCCAAGAAGGCTCGGGTGTAGGTCGTCGCCTGGGTCGATTGACGCCGAGGACGACGGCTGGTTGTACGCAGCCATGATGCTGCTTGATTTTCAGGGTTTGGACGGATGGAAATAGTAATTATGCGTGTGGAATGGAAGAAGGATCTACTGGATAGATGATGATTTTTGTTGCTGTCTAAAGAGCGTGCTAAATTTAAATTAGATATTGTTGAATTTAAGGAGATAATTTCAGTCATATGTGTATTTTTGATTTCACCAATCTTTGAATCAAAACACTGAAGCAAACAACAAAATAAAATAGTTTCGGATGTGTTAGTGGTTGAATCAATCGAGCTCAGCAGAGGAGCTGGATTCGAACCATTTGGGAACTGATGCCCTTCAATTGCTGTGCTCAAGTTCGGCCAACTCTTCTGAAAAGCAATGATAATTTCAGTGGCTCTGGGGTCGGATTCCATGTTTGTAACAATTACAAAAAAAATTAATTTACTTTATTGAGAAACTCTATGGGATGGTAGCTGGGATTTACTTCAGGTTTTGTGTCAGGTTGCAGGCAGGAGTCAGAATAAGGTAGTTAGATCAGATTAGATTAGATTTATATTATAGTCCTAATTGAGTCAATGACTATAGAGGACTCCTAGAATCTATATATAAGATACTAGCTACATTATTTGCTTTCCTATTTTACAATTTTTAACTATGTTCTCATGGACAGTGAGGGTCAAGTGTTACAATATGATTCCTCTGGACGGGTAATACAGTAGTATTGTTACTGGAATATTTGGAAGTAGATTTGATAAAGTATAGGGTTAAATCGTTGCGTGTGTCTTCGTCTCTACGTCTACGCGCTTAATAGAAGTATCGCGACCTCGCACCCTCTAATGTATAGCTCCTAGTCTCATCCACACGCTAATATGAAACTACTAATACAGGGTATATAAAATCAACAGACGCCTTACCCTTTTTAACTCCTAGGCAACCAATAACCACAACCCTAACTCCATTATGTTAAATTGTAGGGATGATTATGTTTGACCATCCCTTCTTATAATTTAACATCAAGCCCTGTCATGAGGTAGTTAAATTTTCTGTTATGCCGGGATCCAAATGCGACGGGACACATTTGAGATCGCACAAAATATCGCGGTGGCTCACGGGTCAGGTACTAAAGGAAAGAGAATATAACTGTGTTGTGCGATAGTAAAAGAAGAGAAGTCTAAATACAAGAGATATCTATACATATGTTCTAGCCTATGACTCTAGTCCTTAGTCCCGTGACACTTCGGGAAGGAGTTCGAAGGAGGCTAGATAGGCAGAGTGTGAATTTCCTGAGGTACACACAAGTCTGCAGCGTCCAGCTTGTCGGCCTCTTCGAACGCTTCAGAAGGGTCACTATGTCTTCGGATTTAATGCTAATGCTAGTATTAGGAGAGTTCTGCACCCAGTGGTTTTTGCGATTTTTCCCGGCTGCCATACACCCACAAATGGCCATCGGTTTGTTGGCTGGAGAGGGAAGATAATGAAGGTCAAAGGGCTCCTCTAAGTGTATGATCGAATGAGGACTTGTGAGGGGAGCCATATGGGAGGTATATGAAGAGATATACCATTGGCATAGGTATTCTTGACCTGAAGACGGAATGGACAATAGAATAAATCTAAAAAATAATATCCATTAGATCGGCAGTCACTTACAATCCTATCAGTGACTATGGGTGATTCGTAGATAAATAAATACAAGTACATGGATATAAGGTGGAGGGCAAGGAATCAACACCCATACGCCATGTTTTTTACGAAACTGCGAGTGGGATATTCTCTCAGAGCCAAGTTCGGTCAAATATCGCAATACCAAAGATGCTGACCCACGAGTCAATAATTCAGAATGCTCCACCATATCAGATTTTCACTCCCAACGAGATCGAATCCTACCCAAGCCTCATCAAGTCTACAGTTATGATCAAGTCCATCCTCATTTCAATGACCATACGTCTCATCGACTATTTTTTGAAACATGATATATCTTGGAACGCCAAGAATAACTTATTTGTAAGTCTGGCTAATTTGACTATCAAATTTCCCATCCTATATCACTGTCATCAATACATCCTTCACTGAAAGTTTAATTCGCATTAGTATTTATTTCACACTAGCATTCCATCGGATGACTATGGCTGAAATATAGGTTATAGTTTTCTCGGATCTATTAACGACACACATGTATTCAGCTTTATATTCCTGGCTTATCTATGTGAATGTACATAGATTTACATCTATAGGGATCATAACATACGATCCATGAAGATTGATAAATACTGTTCAAAGACCACTGTTGATAAGATATGCAAACACGTAATCTCACTTTTATCATCTCGGTTGACTCAGAGCCATACATCTCAATACAATTGTTTTCACTCGAATCTTCCTTTCACAACTTCATACAAGACTTACGTATCGATGTAACCTCCATCTTCGCCCAAGCTCATAACTTTAAAACTATACTCAGGCTTCAGCTGGTCATTAAATGAACGCCCATGACAACACCAATACCCGCTGGAGGACCAGAATCGTCGCGCACATATCTCAGAGGAAGCTCTTTGTGATAGGCATGGAGGAGAAATCGGGACAAGTCTACAAGATGATGAAAGGGAAGGGTAAAATCTCGACGGACGTGACTTTTGAATTTCAGGCATGAAGATCTAGAAATTGAAGAGCACTGTGGGTGCCAGGCTTCCGATTGTGAGAGTGCAGTTTACAGTCTAAAAACAAGCCAACCACGGGTGGTGTTCTCTGGTGTTGTTCGGGTAGCCCGGGCACCTGCTCCACTTGGGAACATATCAATGGATTATGGAGGCATGTCTGGACAACTGAGGGCTTATGAGGCGTTTCCCCGGGTGAAAATTCTCGAATGAGGGCTTGAGTTGAAGGAAAAGCTGCCATCACTTCGCAGCGCTACTTGCAAATCAAATCCGAGGCATGAGTGCTCTCCTTTTAAACTGAGTGATCTATAATCTACCTTACCTCTGATACTTTGTCATGGCTAGATAGCTGCATACGCAATTCGGATCTTAAGAGACCGAAGAGGTCAATTTTGCGGATAGCAGCGAGTCACAAGGTGCCGCTTGAATTGATATTTCCTTGTGAGTTTCAACCCTTGCGACAGTAGAGGGGAATACAGAGGAGAATTGGGTTGGTGTTAAGAGAGTCTTCATACCAGAACTAGCTTACAAGATCTTTCCCTATGTCATTAATTTATTGGGGGCTACGATTTAGGTTTGTCAACAATATGAATGTCTCTCACGCCCTGGATTCTTCCTCATTTCTTCATAAATCACTCGAGATTTTATCCTTCAAGTTACTCTTTTTTGCTGCAGAGATAGTGAAGTGTCTACGAATTTTACTGTTAAAACTCGGTCAGGTTCGGTCAGTTAATTCGAGTTAACTTCACTATTCAATCAACTGCACAACTAATTATGAGCAGGGTAGCATAGGTTTCGTATCATACATATATAAAATTTTTGTACGCCTCCTTCCAAGTTCTCAAGAGGTGCCATTAGAAATCTCGTGACTCATAGTGGCGAATGCTGATGGCTATCTGAAAGATTACTAGCAACTGATATCATGATTAACGTTACAAAAGTGGAAACCATACCTGACTAGATATGAGAGTAATAACACAAAAATTTTTGAATGCAGTTTTTGTGCATTGAGATATGTGAGTAATGAATAACCGCTCAGAAATTTTTCCTCCCTAACACCGCATGAATCTCGAAAACCAAAGAATCCCAGAAATTATAGATCCGACAATAATTGATAATTCCTTCCCAACAAATCTACTAAATTTTTCCTCTTTTCTCTCTCCATAAAACACACCATCTCAATGCTTATGATAACTCCAGCAAATTTATTTTTTCGACCTGACTATGGTGTTTCGAATACGCCATTTTTTACCCTTCAGACATTCTTCATGATCAAAATTTGATTGGATAATCTGGAATTTTTGAAAGTTAGTAGTCTATTTTGAGCCTGGGTCGCATATAAATCAGGTCGGAACCCCTTGAGTCTAGCATTATGCCTTCTGAAGAGTTAATTGTGAGGATGGGTTTCCGAAGTTACTGCAACTTATCATATCGAAAGATACCATAGTCATTTTATGAATAAACATACATATTGTGACTCACTATGAGCCTAATTCTAGATACCTAATGGTATCGTGATCTTGCGTCGCACATAAGAATTATAAAGAATTACTTGCTGAATTTTGGTAGCTATTTTAACGAGTTAGTCTTAAGTTTCTTGCTATGTTATCCTATAAGTAAAGGCTTCTATTATTTTGTTTTCCTCATATCCAATAAATGGATAGACAGATGTATAGGGCAATTCTCTCGATTCGGCAAAACAACTTAACCCGCTATTTTAAACCTAAGCGGAACGAGAGGGGGCTGTTTCCTAATGAAAGAAGAAAAGAAATGGTTTTTTGTATTTGTATTATCTCGGGTAACAAGCTGTGAGAGATTTATTGCTAGGTTGGAGCGCACATCCAGAGTTTAGATTAGCCCCAGGTTCCGCCGCCACCTCCTCTACCCTGTCTCTTTTGCGCAGATAGACGCCAGTCATCTTCGGTGGCAAATTTGTTGTACAGCGGCTGAATTCGTTCCGCCTTTTTCCTCTTGCTAAGCTTGTCAGTTGGAGCAACCTTGAAAAATGATGGTGCTGCTTCAACTAGCCACTTAGGCTCTATAGATGTAGTACAGTGCATATATTCTTTGCTAGTGAGCACCAAAGTATGGTAGATGACCCATTCAGCTTGCTTTCCGAATAGGGCTGAGCTGGGATGCAGGTACACGGGAGTCCCTTCAATCAACGTCTTATATCCTTCTTGTGGATCTTTACGAGCAGAATTCCGAAAGAAGCCACTGCAAAGAGCTTGCCGAACTTTCTGAGTATCTCGACCGCATGACACTATAGGATGTTTGTACCGTTCCATTATATTTACCAATTGCTCACGAACATCTTTTGCCCGACGCATCGATCGAGCTTGAATAAAATTCTCAAAGCACCAAGGGTTTGCAAACTTATTTTGCTTCCATGAATTATATACATTGAGCAAGGTTAGATGGTCGCCGTGAGGATCATGAAACTTGGATTTTTTTTGATCAGCCTGAGCCTGCTTCTCCTTAGGTCGATAGAATACGGTTGGCAATGAAAGCATTGCAACGATACTTAGAATCTCTTCACAGCATCCAAGGTTAACAGCAGCAATTACAACTTTGGCCATCGAAGGGTCCATGGGAAAGTCGGCCATTTTACGGCCAAGCCGGGTCAGCAAACCTTCATCATCTAAGGCAGATAGGGCATATAGTTCCTCCAAAGCCGTCAACATCGTGTTCGTTGGCGGAGGGTCCATAAAGTCAAAGTGTAACAAATCATTTATACCCATAGCTTTAAGCATCAAGATTGTGTTGGACAAATTCTGCCTCTGGATTTCTGGAATAGATGTTGGTAGCATTTCAGACTGGAACGCAGCTTCAGTGTAAAGACGAAAGCACTTTCCAGGCCCAGTTCTTCCTGCACGACCAGCACGCTGCTTAGCTTGGGCTTGGGAGATAGGTGTGACTACAAGCGAATCCATGCCAAGTTTAGGATCGTATGCATTTTGTTTGACAAATCCTGGATCAATAACATAATAGATATGATCAATTGTGATAGAAGTTTCAGCGATGTTCGTTGCAATTACTACCTTTCTACTTCCAGGGGGCGCCGGGTCAAAAATCTTACTTTGCATTTCACTAGGTAAGGCCGAATACACTGGAAGAATAATGAGTTCAGGAACACTGGGTCCAAGGGCTTTCATTCGCTCAAAAAGTATTTCACAGCTCGTGTCGATTTCTTCCTGACCTGTCAAGAAAAGTAAAATATCTCCCGGCGGTTCTGTCAAGTGTATCTGCATGACTGTTACCAATGCCGCGTCTAAATAATCAGATTCTGGCTCTCGAGAGTACATTATTTCGACAGGAAATGTTCGTCCTGGGATTGAAAATATGGGACATTCGTTGAAGTAAGCCGAAAACTTATCAGCATCAAGAGTGGCGGAGGTTACTATTATCTTTAGATCTGGACGTCGCTTAATGGTTTTTTTTAATAATGCAAAAAGTACATCGGTCGCTATGGTGCGTTCGTGAGCTTCATCCAACATGATTACTGAATATCTTTTCAGATCCGGATCCATCAGGATTTCCCGTTGCAGCATACCATCAGTCATATACTTGATCTTAGTAACTGCTGAAGTCATATCCTCGAAACGAATAGTATATCCAACCTCCTGGCCAAGCGTGCAGCCTACCTCTTCGGCAACGCGTTTTGCAACAGACATGGCGGCAACTCGACGAGGTTGAGTACATCCTACAATACCATTGTTTGCAAAACCAGCTTCTGCAAGATATTGAGTTAACTGTGTCGTTTTTCCGGATCCTGTATCGCCGACAACAATGAGGAGTTGGTTCTCATGCACAGCCTTGATAAGTTCTGTTCGAAATCTGTAGACGGGTAATGACTCTCTTTGCTGTTTGATAGTCATGTCCGTCCTTCGACCAAATGACTGATTTTTATTTTGCGTCACCTTCTTCCATTCCGGCACTACCTCGTTGGTTGGTACAGGCTTTGCTGTTCTGAGGTCGCTAGCAAATTTTCTATCTTCTGCCTGAACCATGGGATCATTCCATTGTGACGATAAGTCAACTTTGGAACTTTCTTCAGCAGCCTTATCTTGTGCTTGCTGCTGTCGCAATTCACGCCTATCTTTTGCTAGATTTGTGCCTGCCATCGCAGCTCGATTCATGGAGCCATCGGGAGCCTTGACAACTCTAATTGGCGACAGCTCGAGTGATTGTTTTGTTTGGCCTGCCAGAAAAGGTGGTTCTTCTTCTCGTAATTCAATATCAATCTCCTCCTCTAATTCCATTCCACCATCTCCATTTAAAGTTGCATTGTATTCCTCGTCTAATTCCGGATAGTCTGATGCCTTCACAACTCCAGATGCAATGAGCTGACGTACTTCCCATCTCTCTGGAGACGTCATGCGCTTTTTAGCTTTATATGGGCCGTTGATTTGATTTTCAATCACGAAGCCTGAGTCATCTAGGAGATCCTGTCCATTTCTTTTTCCACCCAACTGTTCTGCATTAGCGCCAGACTTCATCTGCGTCTGGGGAGCTAAATCTCTGCCGGTTTCTTGATCAACTTCCTTCATAGATAGACCAATTCTAGAACCTTCAATCTTAATAACCTTGACCTTGACAACCTGACCTCTGGCTACAAGATCTGATGGATGACTGATTCTCTGACCCTCAACCATTGCAGAAACATGTACTAATCCATCTACTTTACCCTTCACGCCATGTATGTTGACAAAGCATCCGAAATCCTTGACGCCGGTAACATGGCCCTCGTAGATGTTGAATTCCACAGGGAAATTATCGACTTTCGAAAATGGCGCTTGCTTGATATAATCGGCTGTATCGTCACTTCGATGGGTATGTTTGTTACTTGGACGTGAGCGGCCAAATTCATCTTCATCCCTTTCCTCTAAACCTTTCCTTCTTAATCGCCTACCATCCCTAGATGTTGATCGTGACCTGATTCTATCTTTTCTTGCCGTTCTTCTGTTGTACACATCATCAGGGCTTCGACTCCTCTTGTGGTTCGTTCTTGCTGGTCTACCTGGCCTGGATTTTGATTCCAAGTCTTCTAAGAGCGCGAGAGTGTCATCAATAGCATTTGGTTCGCTCTTAACTTTATTGTCTTCAGAGAAGTCATTAAGCTCGCCTTTCCAGGGAATCTCTTTGTCAGGCAAAGCTAGACCCTTGAAGACTTTGGACTTTTCTTCTTTCTTTATCCCATTGTTATCGTTGTGAAGTTTCCCTTGGTACCTTGGATGCAACGCTTTTACTAATCGATCGATACTTTCAATCAAACTATGTGGAAATTCTGCACCCATCTCCTCTAGCTTGTTCCCAAATTCTTTAATGTTCTTACATTCTGAATGCTGTGCAATTATAAACTCAGCGAGGGTCTTGTCACTAATTCCTAGGTAGTTCTGAAGCTCAGAGGTGACCTTAGATACTAATGAAAGAAGCTCTAATGATTCGAGATCGTCCATTGTCAGTATTTTGTTAATTCCCGAGGTAGAGCTAGGTAGCTTTGCGCTTAGTGGTGCAGTTTGTGGTTTTTCATGAAACAATAGAAGTATTTGATACTAGTACTTGGGAATATGTATTGTTCTCATCATATTGCCGTTGGGACTTTCTCTGGGCACAAAATGCGCATTCTATTTTAGCATTCCGTAAGCTGGCCTACGGCTGGGGACGATCACATTGATGAAGGGTCGGAAAAGAGATTTAGCGGGTGAGTGTAGACACCAAACAAGACCAGCACGACATGTATGATCGAATCCTCTAAGCCAGGCAACGGCCTACTCTACGGTTGGGGAATTAGAAGTTTTCTCTGTCAGTGGCTTGTCACAAAATAGATTAAATATGAGAGTTACCTTCCAGATGGCGACCAGGAGGAGTGACGATAGTAAGTTTTTGTCCAAAATAACGCCCTACAGAGATTTCACGACTGCACAGCCCATCGATCTCAGACTTCAGAAATCAACAAGTCCGTTTCGCGACATTCTTCGAGGTCATCTCACCACCTACCAAAGCATTATCATATCCAGAAGTCAAAATTAAATCAAGGTTTCAAAAATATTTCCTTCTCAGTACAACTGCCGTGCGCTGTTAGGATACGATCGAAGCATCGGCCTTACATACGTCTACACTTCGGCCAAGGGCACCTACAATCAACCTGCAACGACTCCCAAAGAATATATGCATGCTTCAATTCGTTGATATTTCAACCAACGTATGCCAAAAAAGCCAACGTATAGTTGCCTCAGTCTTGGGTACCCCTACGTATATTCAGCCTCCCCAATTAGTGCTGCGGCAGCAATGGTGCAAGACCAGAGGGATGAACATTTCTCAATGTTTCAGAGATGATTAGATTAGCTGAAGAAAAAATGAGATCCTAAAATCAAAGAATTAAAAGGAAGAAAACCGGATAATTTGTTTTGCTGTTAGATGAAGCCCTTAATGAAGATAAAAACACCTTTAAAATGTGAGGAGATATCAGGATGAGGCAAAGCCGGGACTCGAAGGATTGAAGCAGAGTGAATAAGACATTGCTGAAGGCTTGGTCGTGGAATTGCCAAAGCTGTAGAGAATTGTGGGCTCGAGTACGACCTTACAGAGCTACAAAGACGATAAAACTGATGAATATCTTCACCATAAAACTGTTTACAACTTTTAACTTTGCCATAGGATTAGGTAGAATTCGTAAGAACGAACGGTCGAAGGACCGTGATCTAGCTAGCGTGTAGAGTCCCTAGTAGCTCCTTTTTACATGCTGAATTTAATTCTTCAATGCTTTTATCGATGTCTGTCTAGTGCATTTTGCTTCAACCTGATCCTGGCCACACCTTGTGCAGTGCTCCCATCCTCTTTTGCGGAAAGAATCCAATCTAATTTTCCAAAATGGACAAGCATTCAGCTCAGTATCTACTCGTGGAATTCCGCCATCTTTTCTACGGAATCCCGTACCTCAAAAATAGTGTCAATAGAAATTTGGGCGCCGAAGAATTCCCCAAGAACCCGTGGGCTCAACGAGACAAGGCGTGTATGCCCATCCACATCTCCCATAGTTGTAACAAAAGAGGCCAGCTTGATAATGTCCACTATCACCGTTTTGGGAGCTGAGTGTGCCCCTGTTAGACACTGAGGGCCAAATGAAAAATGTAAAGTAGAAGTGTATTGATAACATCTCTTATCCTCGCCAACCTTGATGCTATACACCCATCTGAAACAATTTCCGGGAGAGAATATCTTCTCCTCGTTTCTCGAAATTACATACGAAATATATTACAAGTGTTGGAGATCAAAAGATCTGAAATTGGAGCTCTGAACATCCACACTATTCTGAACATCCTGATCACTTTGTTCCTGCTGGGAAACCAAAGCTTGAGTTAGCTAATTCGAGAGGATGTGTTATCCCAATACCCCATGATTCTCATTACTATGTTCAGTAGGTTCCAAACTATCAGATGTTTGACAGCTCTGGAAACCCTTCGACTAGTTTGTCCTGCATGACCAAGAAAACGAAAGAGAGTTGATGGGATGGGGAGTTGTGTCGACCGATGGAGGCGACGCAGTGCGCGGAAGCAATCGGGAATCCTCATCGAAGTTGGCACGTGCTTTTAACTTATTCTTAGCTGTGTAGACTCTACAGTAAGAGCTGGAGCTTCGTGGGGAGCTCCACATACAGGACTAGATTTTCGTACCCCTCATGGGCAGAGGCTTATCGATGCAGGACATGACGGGAAATTATTGCTTGATTTATTTTTCAAGCTATTCTAATCTAGGAAGATGGCCGGCAAAGACGAATTCTTCACCTTCCAGTGGTGCCGGTGTAATCGCTCAGTATGCTCTGCATATCTGGGATAGCCAAGAAGAATCGCATCCGAATCGAAGTCGAAAGCAAACACATGCACATCTCCATTTGACGACTTCTCAATTATGTAGCACTCACCATTATCTTCTGAGTCCTCAACCTCTTTCTAACCACACATCATCTCGCCAAGACGACCGATAAAGGCCTCACCCCAATTGCAAACAGGAGCTTGCCTCATTTATCACCGGCCATCACTCACTACAAATTTACGACGCTACGTATACCCGCAAGGAGGAAATCAAGTCATAATATACAAAGTTGGGGTCGTGGTTTATGGGGGACTGATGCTCTAATGGGGTTGTACATCTTGAGGAAGGACAGGCGGCTGAGATGTGGAACGAGAGGGGGAACAGGTCTTTGAAGACCATGCCGGAACTGACATTTTCGAGGAGTTTTCAACTTTGTATTTTTTGTGAGCGCCAAGACTAAGATTTCGGCTAATTAGCCAGGAGGGCTTCTTTTGTCGATGAGTCAACGGCGCTCCCCAGCGCCCTGGACGGCACAAAAGAAGTTGGGCTAAGCTACTATACAGCAATCACGCTCTGTCAAGACTTTTCTGATATTTCAGCACGACCTTCGGGAAGGAGTTGGAAGGAGGCTAGAAAGGCAAAGGGTGAATTTCCCGAAGTACCCACAAGTCTGCAGCGCCCAGCTGGCCGGCCTCTTCTAACGCTTCAGAAGGGGCAATATGTCTCCGGATTTATTCCTAATGTCGGTGTTAGAAGAGCCCCGCACCCAGTGGTTTTTGCGATTTTTCCCTGCCGCCATACACCCGCAAATGGCCATCGTTTCGTTGGCTGGAGAGGGGAGATAACAAAGGGCAAAAGGCTCCTCTAAGTGTATGATCGAATGAGGACTTGTGAGGGGTGGTACTGTTTGAGGGGAGCTGTATGGGAGGCATAGGAGGGGATATACTACTGGTATAGGTATCCTTGGCCTGTAGGCAGAGAGGACCTGCATGTCCTACATAGTCATAGACTCAGACAGGACAATAAAATGAATTAAAAAAAAATTAATCTAGGAAGATGTAGCTAATCTCGGTCTTCTCCACCCACAAGCCCCGGATACTTGTGCCTCGGACTTTTACTTACATGACTTCTTAATAGCTCCTTTCCAATTGTAAATCCTGTTGGAATATGCGTGCAGTAGATGGCCTCGCTACTGCTTTCCCTTTAGTCTAGGACAACCCAAAGGATGATTAGGCTTCAGAAAAATGTATTATATTGGATTCCTAGCTCCTAGACGAGAGCCGTAGATTCTATTCCCTTTGTGATATACCTTACATTTATAATTTTAAAAATTATACATTAAAAGGACTATGTACATATATTAGGTGACTTTTCGACCTCAGTAACATTCATACTCTAGACTTAATTCCCAAAAATCCCTCTTGGGAGTTTTTAGAGAAACAGATCATGTCCTAGTAGATAGAACGTGGAACCTCCAGTATCGGATTACACGACTCGCTTAGTTGTGAGCTGTGCACTGTCTAGACGATAGATGCGTCAGTTGTTATTCACCGAGTATTATAAGCGACGAGTCGTAGAGACAATCTGTCAAGTGTAGGAGAAGTCATTGACAGAGTACTTCTCAGTTATACGAGGGAACGAGACACATTTAGAATAGAGTAGATAATTGGAACACAGTTTGGTGGATGGGGACTTCTGTAAGACCCAACTCATATCACTACTGTGGGATATCAATTCAATCCTGATTCATCTACGCATTATATTTGCTGTGCAGTATCTCCTATCAAGTTATACAAGTGATCAGAATACGAATATTTTAATAGGGGTAGTTATTTTGACAGAGATGACGAGCCTCTGTTGTGCTGGCTCGTTTGAGGTGTTAGGAGACAGGGGAACGGAGGATGGGCTGCTGGATTAGGAAAGGGTGGAAAATACAGGCTGGTGCACAGACGCTGTTCATGTACTCTACAATCTCTTCACCTGCCGGGTTTAGTGAATCAATTTATCCAAAATAATATCATACTTCACATCATCCATTAGATGATATTATCAATCGTCGGGGTGTAAATCTAGCATCACCTTCATTGATCACCATCGTCAGTAAGAGTTCACATTTGATACCTACTGACACCCATTTGGCCACAGTGATACGCACTCAGTGTCCATCGTGCCATCACCCAGCGTGAGCGCGCCATCTCCGCGACTCACCATTGCACATTAGCCCGTGTAATTCCACCGACGGACAGCAGAGACATAATTGCTATCTACCTCACAGCTCATAACCACAACAGCCTCGAGGACTACCAAGGGTAGTTTTAGAACCTCCTTTTATCATCTATGCCCACAAGCACCACTAGAAATTTGATGTACTAATACTAGATTCGAACAAGTGATGTTCCGTTGCAAGTGGGATAGATGAGGCCTGAGACTTGGTCAACGATAGATGTGATCGTTGTACTGAGGGTATGCTAAGTAGTATTTGAATACTTGGTGATGCCCTAGTATCAGTCGAATTTGCAGGAAGACTTGGATCAATTTCATTTTCTCAAACTTTCTCGGCGGTTCGAACTGTTTCCGAACTCGAGCCTCGAAGAAAACCTCTCGCTAATATTCCTCAAGGACACTGCTGACAGAATATAAATCTTCGCTCTGTAAGATAGAGACTCATGAATGACACTTCTTATAGGTATCAAGACTCTATTCTTCTTACAGTCACTTCAGCAGCTACATTACATCAATTTCAACATGTCTGAAATGAAACGACTCGAAAAATGACCAAGTACATGGCAGCACATGAAGGAAATTACATTAGAAAATCCATTGATTAATTAGATGTAAGTTTGGACAATTTAGGACTGGAATTATGTAAAAATTTTGTCATAGCTAAATAGCTGAAACTCTACGAGTTAAAAAATGAAGCTCGATGTTGACAGGACTTGAGCACTAGTGGTGTGGAATGGAAATAGAGTGTACTAAATTGTATATATTATTGCATCTATCTAGGGTGTATCGAATCTCTACGAGGGGGGCAAGACTGAACACCTGTACGCGGTGTCCACTACGAACCTGGGAGTGAATTATTCTCCCAGAGCCAAGCTCAGTCAAATTTCGCAATATTGAAGTTGGCCCACGAGGCAATGATTCAAAATACTCCACAATGTCAATCTCTCACTCCCAACGAAATCTATTCCTACCCAAGCCTCATCAAGTGTACAAGTACAACCTAGTACATCCTTATTCCAATTATCAAATTTCTCGTCGACTTTCTCAAGCCTCAGCCGGTCACCAAATACACGCCCACGCCGATATTTATACCCGACGGAGAACACAAAGCGTGGCGCACAAATCTGGGAGACAGTTCTTTGGTAATGGCGTGAGAGAATTCAGGACAAGTTCGCAAGATGATGCGAAGGATGGATTCAGTTTCGACGGGCGTGGAATTTTGAATTAATGCAGGAGTTTTTACAATTTGAGCTTTGTGCGTGCCAAGACTTCGGATGCGAGAATGTAGGCGACACTATAAACATCGCCATGGTTGGATGGTGCGGTGGTGCATCGTCTTGGCCGGTCTGCCAAGTAGAGTCTGGATAGCTTGGACACATATCCCACTCGAGAAAGGAGATCGCTGGTTCAAATCCGGCAAAACACAACCACTTTTCTCGCGGCGCTGGTATGCATGGATGACTTAGGCATGCTTGGATAACCAAAGGTTATGAAATTCCCTTTGGTGGGTCCTTACGGAGGAGGGTCGACTGTTGGTGTAAGCAAGCATACCTCATAGTGGTATTTGCGAATGAAATCCAGAGTATGAGTGTATCTAACGTCAAAAGAGTCATCCAACATGTATACATAGCACTGGTCATGTGTCATAGCTAGATAGCTGAATACACATTAATGATTAAAAAAAAATAAGAACCTCTAGGAATTAGATGAGCCGCACAGGCCTCTCTAGATTAGTCAGCTATTATTGTCTGCAGAGCCTACTGGCCTGAGGTTGCAACATTCAGCCTGAGTGGAACCAACACTAGAAAAATAAAACATCTCCGCTACAAGCTAACATTTGTTAAAACACAGTGTATTTACTACTCTAGCTCTAGCGCTGAGAAAGTCAGGTCGTTCAAATATATTGAAATCATAAATATACTGTTAATAAGCCTGATCTATCTCAGATCCAATCGTTTTGGCTTTGTTATAAGCTCAAAGTTTACCAAGTGTACAGAACGACGAAGTACAACTTAATAATCTTTCCATTACGGCTGTGTCATTTTATCAGATGACGCTTACACTCACTTTATTGCCGTCTATCAGCATTACCCACGTTGAAAACGGTAATTAGAAATATCAGAATATTATCTGTTTAAGAGCCTCATATTTTACCCGTGACAATCAAAAGGTACGCGGTTGCCGCAATTATTAGATTAGATTTCAAAACTCAGATGCCTGCTAAGCCGGTCATTACATGAAAATTAGACAACCCGAATTTCGTATGAGATATAACAGCAGAACTAAGACGAACACTCCAGGTGTTTCGTGGATCGTATATTTACAATGGGGTTAGAACCTGGTATAATTGGAATTTTCTGGAAATTCTAATCTTAGCTAACCATTTTTCTATTTATATTTCTTTCCAGCTCGAACAATTTCGAAAAAAGGTCGCCGATTTGTCCCTTTCTTCCAAAATTACCTACTCAAGTCTGCGCCTGGAATAGAAACACCTTTGTGACTATTGCTGTTTATCTAGGATTTAAATTGGAAACTATGGGTTTTTAGAAACCACCCTAACTATGTGTGATATAGGCTGCGGTGATGAAGGTTTCTTTCTAGCTCCGTGTGGTTTCTGTTCGATGCCCTCCTGTTGTTAAAAATTATTTGACTTAGATGGCGCGTACATCAAGTACTTGGCCTTCATACATCCATCTATTAGTGTTTCTCTTGCGGTCATCTTGATCATGCTTTCGTAAATATTCGTTAAAATTTCAGCCAGGGGTGAGATATAGGCCCATTGAAATGTAATTACTCTGATAAATCTTGAAGAAATATTTCAAGCTGAGTTTTGTGTTTCTGTGTCGCTCTTGTCTTTCATTATGTTGAAAGCATAACAAGAAAAACTAGAGTGGCTACTCCTATGGGCAATGTTGAAACGTTGGCTAAAGTTGCTGCACTGACAGAAGTAATTGGTGAATTTATATTAGCACCAGGCAAGCTACCAGTAGTCATAGCACCTCCCGTCGCTTTGGGGCTAGATATAGTGGTTTTTGCCGGAGGTGGTAACTGAGACACAATTGACTTTGGTGGATTCACTTTAGGCGGGGGCATAGCTGGTGCACCAAATGATTTTGGCATAGACGTGGGTGATGCTACACCAGGGTGAGTTTCGGTGATAAAGATTGTGGAGTGCTAGTAATCTAGTTAACATTTGTTATCACCATGTGTTTGGTTGGCTTACAGTGCTCTTAGAAAGCATCGCCATAGCAGTCTTAGTCCGCACCGCCGTGGTGTTCCAGACACCAGCATAGTTGGGACTGTATGGGTTTGGAATAGATGGAGAGCTACTTGGTTTGGGGGCTCCCTTTTTCTGGCCTGGTTCTTTGTCATAACTACTATCAGGCTTACACGCATTACCATGGCTCTCGTTGCAAATTTGTCCTTGATCATCAGATGATAATTTACCCAAAGTTATAGTTAAGTGCGTGTTTTCGAGATTATGAATAGAAGCTTGTACCTCGATTTGGTGCGAAGAAACTCCAGATTCCAGGTGATGCAAGGCAGAAGGCAACTTATCAATGGTAGCAGAGGCGGAAGAAAGCAGTAAGAGTAGGGTAGAAAGAGAATAGTACATGAGGTATGGTTTGTGAAGTGGAGTTAGAGAAGGTGTGGTATTGAATGATCAGATGAGATAATAACAAATCTGATAATTTAAATAGCGATTGTATCAAGGGTAAAGTAATGAGAGTTGTATTGATTGAATCAAGTAAAGTCAAGTTGGTAAATGAGAGAACCAAAAGTTGTGAGAGTTGTGATGAAAACGAAAAGAGAGAAGTGGTTATTATAATATATCTTGAAGCGTCCTAGAATACGACCAATGGAAACCCGATCAGGTCAACCGGTCGGATGAGTCAACCTTTTGACCTCGGAATCTCGAACAGCCCAATGAATGAATCAGACTCCATACAGAGTGCGTGAGACAGGAAAGTTGTGCTTCAAGTCCTTGTTAGTCGAGTGCACTTGGGTTTGGCTGTGTTGAGTGGTTCACGAAATCCTGGCATCTGGGGAAATACGGGGTCGGAGGCGGACAAGAAAATCAATTGGCCCAACCACGCCAACTTGGGATAGAGATTCTACACTGTCGGGATCATGAGTAAAGAGGGAGATCAACCTGGTGGCGCTTAGGTCGTAGAAACCTTATAGGAGCTCAAAGGTTCCCGACATGAAAATTTTATCGGCCGATTTGAATAGAGAGAAATTCGCTTGACGCCTCTAAACATGCTGAGAGCCTGAGACAGGACAGCTTCAGCGGAAACCGACCTGAAGCACTACGAACTCAATGGAAATTGAGTCATTGTGTGCTGACACACGAGACGAATGGTCGAAAAATCGTAACGGTGGAATCGTAAGCCGCGCCGATAGGGGCCTATCTTCCAAGTTTATGCCAGATAAAACGGGATATATGTTGAATTATGTTGTTCGCTGACCTACCATGCACAGGGTCGTCTCTACTTGTCGCAGCCCTAGGCTATATCAGGTGAACTCCCGCACTAGAAATGCTTCAGCTTTGCCCATGGTCATGATCATCTCAGACTACACATATGTATTGAATCACAACCAGTCAGACCGTCCCGAAAATTCGCTACAGTTGCACTCGAACCCACTATTCTCTACAGCTTTAGCCATTCCATGCCCAAGCATTCAGCAATATCTTATTCACTCTGCTTCAATCCTTCCAGTCCCAGCTTTGCCTCATCCAAACCTCTCTCCATCTCTTCCGGGTGTCATATTATTTGTTCGGAAGCATAATCTAGCCTCTAGCTGGGATTCTCTATTCTCTAATTTGTCGCATATATCTCATTTATTGGCTAGTTTCTCCAGCTTGAATACTAGGTTATTTTCAAGCCCTACAATATTTCACAGCCGCTGCAACAACCTTGAGCTGAGGCCCCATTTACGAATGAGAACTCAAGACTAATGCGCAAACTCCCTGGTCATCTTCGATGAATATATTTGGTGTTCTATTGAATCGTCATAGCCATCTCGACGGTGAAGATCCAGTGGAGGTTGAGTTATAGATACTCTTAGCGGAGGTGCATGGGCATACAAAGTGGGCATATGGACTAAAATCGTTTAATGTACAGGGTCCGTGATGGCTAGAGACGCCCTTGCCTCACTCATGCTGGTGAAATTCCTAGGGGTAAGAATAATTCATCAGATGATATTAGGAAGTCGGATTTTCCAGCAAAGACAAGTTAACGCATCTCCTCACGACCGCTATCTCGTCGATAATGTTCAATGCTTCCCTAGGCCGTGACCAAATTTCAAGTGTGAATATTTTATCCCTACGTTTGTCAGAGGTATTGCTGGCAGGTATTCTTTCTTCCACTATAATTCCTAATAAGTTTTCTATTGTGCAAAAAAAGTTACGGCCGTTGGCATCACGGCCGGTCTCACATGCCACGTGACAATTGGCACGTGCATATCTGCCTACTGAATATACCTAGTTCCGTCTCGTAGTTTTAGATCCCAGCTTCATCTTACACCACCAACGCGATAGTTGCCTACGAGAGTTGCCTTCCTTCTCAAATCGTGACTAAAAATATGTAGCATATCAAATTTTTAAAGTTAGTCTCCATTAATTCCTTCACTAACATCTAGTTTAATCTGTAAAATCTAACCATGTATAACGCAGACAGCCTTTGATATCCTTCCATCAATCGGTTCACTGACGCTTAGCATCACTTGAGCACATAGACGTGAATATGTACTAATCCTATCCTATAGTGGTGTGATAGGCGCCATGGGCGACGCATGAGATGTTGAACCACGGTACAAATCCGGCGGACTAGAGAGAAGCGAAAATCAGTTCCGACGGACCCTTGAGATAGGTTGCAGACTGCAAGAGAGGCTTTATCGCCAATGGGTGTGAATAGACTTCACCCACAGTTTCGGGTCCTACATCCGAAACCCCAAGAGTCCCTGTCTATCCGTAACCAATTATCCCTCCTACCACCTCAGCTGTGCCGATATTTTGCGAATCCCTCTTATATACATGGGCCAAATCACCTTACGCTCTTACATACCAATAGTTGAACACTATTCACTGTACTAAAAACGTCGCGCACCTCTGAATGAAGTATGATCAATCACGACTGATCGTTAAAAATGCTAAAGAACCAAGCGAAGCAAGGCTTTGGAAACAGATACGATTGGTAGATTTATGATTTACTTGTCGCTACATTATTTTTGACTGTTTAATGTGAATTGTATTTTTTTAAATATTGATACACTTCGTGCCGGCACACAACGCTGAACTACATGTACCAAATGCGGCTTAGCTAAGCCAATATAGACTATCAAACGAGCCAACAACTACGAAAGAGCCCACCAAATTGAAAAAGCAGGGCCTAATTACTGCTCGGAACGTTATGAGAACTTGTAAGGAATGACTGGCTCTACTAAGCTTCTGAATGATGCTGTCCTAATCTTGAGTCCTCCAGTCCGACCACTTCCAAAGCTTGCACTGCCCATCATCCCTCGCCGGCTTTGATTTCTTCATTGGATACTCATACTCAGCAATCCATGTTTGACCTCACCTGGCATATCCCCGTCATAAACAGTGTTGCAAGGGCGGATAACGAGTCGAGATTTGGTTCATTCGGGATAAAAGAGGGAGGCGTTTAAATATTTTCTGGCGTACTAGGGGGGGCGGTATTTAGCTCAAGCTAAAATCGCCTTGCATTGACTTAATTGTTTTCTCCGTGACCTTTGCAATCCACAAGTCCCGACCAAAAGTAGTCCAGTGTTACGGGTTTTACCCGGTGTCAATTGGCTGTGTTGATAGAGGAGCCCGGCCTTGTAAAGAAATGGACTTGAGGATCCTGAATTCCGAATCCGAGCGAAACGCCCAGTTTCAAGACCACTATGAGATTGAATCCCTCGCATCCCTTGGTCTCAATCAAAGCGGCTAAGCGCCTAACTCATTCCCTACTATATTCTTACAGTTCACTATGCCGTTTAATATTCATCATTACATTATCTGAAGTGTGAGGAATTTCATGTTTTTAAGGAGTTACAACGTTGATGAAAATACAAGTTTACACCTAGTCTCAAGCTCTACATCCATCTGGTCCGTCGTTGTTGGAGCCACAAGACACCCGTGAATTTCAGTCAAAATTTATCATTTTATTCTCACTAACGTGCACGAGAAACCTTAGTTGTAGCATATAGATTTGCCTTTTGCACAAGGCAAGCTGCTGAGTAAGTGCTTTTGCAAGGTGGTCATCAGGACACTTTACACAATGACTCAGTCTCAGCAGCGTGCCCAACTTGCAGGAGGTCAAAGGCTGGAAACCTGTAAGCGGTGTCCTCTACGAACCTGGGAGTGAGATATTCTTTCAGAGCCAAGTTCAGTCAATCATCGCAATACCAAAGATGCTGACCTACGAGTCAATAATCCAGAATGCACCACCATATCAGATTTTCACTCCTAACGAGATCGAATCCTACCCAAGCCTCATCAAGTCTACAGTTATGATCAGGTCTATCCTCAATTCAATGACCATACATCTTATCGACTATTCTCAGGCTTCAGCTGGTCACTAAATGAACGCCCATGACAACACCAATACCCGCTGGAGGACCAGAATCGTCGCGCACATATCTCAGAGGAAGCTCTTTGTGATAGGCATGGAGGAGAAATCGGGACAAGTCTACAAGATGATGAAAGGGAAGGGTAAAATCTCGACGGACGTGACTTTTGAATTTCAGGCATGAAGATCTAGAAATTGAAGAGCACTGTGGGTGCCAGGCTTCCGATTGTGAGAGTGCAGTTTACAGTCTAAAAACAAGCCAACCACGGGTGGTGTTCTCTGGTGTTGTTCGGGTAGCCCGGGCACCTGCTCCACTTGGGAACTTATCAATGGATTATGGAGGCATGTCTGGACAACTGAGGGCTTATGAGGCGTTTCCCCGGATGGGAATTGTCGGATGAGGACTTACTTGAGGTAAAGGAGAAGCTGCCATCACTTCGCAGCGCTACTTGCAAATGAGATCCGAGGCATGAATGCTCTTCTCTTAAACTGAGTCATCATTAATGTACTTTATCTATGATCTTCTGTCATAGCTACATAGCTGCGTCGTCATGATATGAGACAACGAAGTAGTTGAGGCTAGGACATCGCGTGTGGCTCAAGGCCACAGCATACATCACTAGTGTACTGGTTAGACAAGCATGTATTTAATTTCATAGATGTACCCGTGAAAAATGTGTGCATGTTTAGTCTTAGACTTCCTGTTCATATATGTACAGCATAGTATTGTATGAGATCATTTACTGTCACCCACTGAATATAACATCATCCAATCCTCATCACTCCACAGTGTGACCTCCGCATAGCTCATAACCATAACATGCATACGCAATTAAAATCTGTTGTAAAAAAATAAAGGAGTACAAGAGCAATGTACAATGAGTAGCCTGGGTCGGAAAGGAGCCTAACATGCAACATCATCAGACTCAAATTGCACGATAAATAGCAAAGCAATACAGTTAGGTGACCCTTGACTATCGTCAGCGTTGAAGCTCTAGAGAACGTTCCTTGATGTGATCTAAAATGAAATTTATCATGCGAATTACATTATCTCTTTTGAATGAGCGGGATCATAACTAGCTGGGAGAAGTGTTGAGATTTTATCAGTCCTTCAGACTAGAAGAACGAGACTGAAGATATCTAATGCGCCTTGCAACTAGCTGTCTCAACCTTGATTCCGTGCCGTGTTCTGTTTTTTTAAACTACATGCGATCATGCCGAGGTTTTAACAGGGAAAACATGGGTTATTTTACTTGCAGCTCCCTGGGGCTTCGGTTTTTATTGAAAGGCAGGGCCGCACATGATTTTATAGCAGGATTTTGAATCACAAAACATATCATTTAGAGATCGAGGAAGAAGGCAAGTTGGTACAAAGTCTGTCCATGCTGAAGATAATCTAAGGGGGCTCACCCGACCATGTATGGCACTCGTATCTTGAGAACATCGAGCGCAGTGAGGAAGTCTTTACGTATTATTTATCTAACCACCATATTACGTGATCAACTGAACTTGCACTTCAAAATTGTTTGTCTACCTGTGTAACCTATTTGTATTCCGTTAAAGTTTCATAATACCTTGGGGTGTGTATTAACTTGATGCGACAATTCGTATTGATGTATCTAAATAACTCTCCATTTACTTTCCTTTCATTTGAAACCTTGAGTGCCCGTGTCTCGCCCTAAAAGTGGTTTTCCTGTTTGTTATGTAGATTTGGGATTATTATAAAGTTATTACGAGAAATGAAATAAAGAATATTGTTATCTCGCTGACTCGTTGGGCATCTTGCAACCAAGACAAGTAAACGTAGACGTAATAAACGCTGATATTTGAATTGATAACTGGAGAAGTCCTACTACGTCGTCTTCATCTAGAGACCTGTACGATTTGCTTGAGCTCTTTATCAATTTCTGAGAATCAAGTTATTTTTACATCTCTGTGGTATTTTCGAGGCAACTTTGTATGACAAAGACGTTGAACTCATACTAGATGGTCTTGTTGGAGATGTTCATTTCACCTTAGAGGGTTATCAAGCCATTTGTAGAAAGTAAAACAGAAACTATATTATCAAAGTACCTGACGCTCTTCAACTGTGATACCAGTAACTTCGTAAAGACAGTTCTCCGGCGACCACTGTTTCAATCGACATGATCATATTTTTTCTTCACGTTAAACAACATGGTCAAATCTGGACTGGTAAAGCCTGATCAAATGATATTAAAATAAAGGTTTACATGAGACTTGCTAACAGTTAGATTGACTTTCTCATCGCACTACTAGTTAAGATTTTAACATGATAAGGTTTAGAAATAAATTCCGGATTCTATTTCGTTCGTATGTGTTTGAGTTTCTTTTCTGACCAAAGAAAATTGTTTGCATATGCTTTTGGTGCGGTTTTTCGAGAATTTGGCTCCTGAACAAAATACTCAAACCCTTGTTTCTCTGCGAAGGCTATCGCGTCTTCCCTAGACTTGAACGTCATGTGAGTGCCCTGCATGAAATCTGCAGATGATTGCCATCCCATCAAATCGTTTTCCCATCTATGACCCTTTGGTAAAATGTCCCAGTCCATGCGCCATTGACGGCCATGCCAGTTTCCTGACTGAGTTGCAGGTTTGGAGGGGCGATATATCCTGTTACCTGTTGGAAGGAGGTAACTAATAGGGAGATTGACCTACCGTACACTCCTAGCTTGAAGTTCTATAGGAGCACCAGATATTAAAGCTGCAGGAATTTTCCCATCTTGTTGACTACCATCCATCAATTGTTTAGGAATCGGAGAGAAGAGTCTAGAGTATTTTAGCTTGTTTCGCAAGAAAAGGTGGAAATTCTTACGAGAATGCCTGATCAGTTTCTCTCGTGAATCCGTGCTGATTGTGTTTATCTTCGATATCGAGAGCTTCTTGAACACTGCTGAGTGACGCCGACTGTTGAGGCAACTTTCCTGATTCTTGAGTCAAATCTCGGTCACGCCGTCTTTCAGCTGAGGAGAACAGGCGGCGCTGTGCCAGTGGAAAAATTCTAGAGGCTTGAGCTACAGCTGGAGCTCGTAATAGAAACATAGTTGTGACCATTTGAAGATAATGATAACACGAATCTGTAGAGTCCTGCGCTCTCGTTATTGATTAGTAATGATTTCCAATTTACGGTTGATCTGTGCAACGTCCCTCCAACTACCTATCGTCCCTAAATCGTTCACACGCAGTCAATCATATCATAAGTTCTGAATTCAAATATTTAGAGTAACGGGAGGAACATTTATCCAGCAGAACCAAATAAACTGAAATTAATTGATATCTTAGATTCACAAGATGAACTTTATAACTCGCCGAGCTCTTTCAACTTTAATTCCTCCGAAGGTACGTGGAGCCTCAACTAAACACAGTATATGTCTCATCACAAATTTTAGGTCGCATCACCTACTGTCAGTAATCCACCCTAGAAACTTCAAATATCTGGCTATCCAGAGCCTTCGGCCGCAAAAATTTCAAAAGTCCAATATGTGAACGATTTTCTGAAGGCGGAACGCGGCTGACGGTTTAGGCAATCGGGGCCGCTCAAGATGCTGCTCGCATGGCGCGTGTTGTAAGCTTTTATGAAAAGCTTCCTCGTGGTCCGGCGCCGGAAATCAAGCCCGAAGGCATGCTCGGCAGATATCAAGCACGATACTTCGGCAAAAACTCAAGTGCAACACGTATGTTCTTGCACCAAGGCTCTTTCTTTATTGATACCACATACTAAACTTGCCACAGCAATCATCCAGGTCATTGTAGTCATGTTAGCCGTTGGCTATGCTCAAAACTATTACTTCCATCTGCGTAGGTTGATAAATCACAACACAGGCATCATTTAGCTAATCACAACAACTTTAAGGCCATCACAAGAATAACGCACATTAGCATGCATTGTAGCTACTACAATCATTGAAAATCAAAAATTGAGGTTATAGATAGATGTAAATTAGCAGAATCTCAAAGAATTATGCGAAAAGATACTAAATCTTCTTATCTGTAAACAAAGAATGAAACTCCTACAGATTTCACAGCCACACCAAATGATTATAAATTGAAAAGAAAATATACGAAAGCTATGCTCAGGGTTAAAGAAGCTAATTTTTTGAATTATTCAGTCCTTCTCTCCATCTAACACTATGATGTAAAATTGGTTGATGGACACTAATTCCATGCAAATACGTCATGTCTTTAAATTATGCGTCAATAGATATATGAGATATAGTATAAGGGTAATAATACTATGATTGTCTGAGGTATGAAACATAGATGGGATTGTAATTCTCATGTGAGCTACGAGAAAACCTCGACATAAATAGGAATTACCCGTAGAGCATTTGGAATGCATTTCAATGACCCATCTATTAAGCGACAAATTCATACTGAATTCCCGTTGATATAATATACCGTTATTCATTCACTTTTTAAAACTGAAGCCTCACGAGGCCACTAGGTGATCCCCTGAAAATTCGTCTCAGCATAACCTTACATGTCTTCCCTGAACACACGCATCTTCACCTGTACCCTCAGCTTTGCACGAAAACCACGCGCCCGTCGCCTCGTCACCATTTAATATCATCCATAATATTACGCTATTGTAAATAATACCGATAGTTCTAAGAGGCTATATATCTGGCAGAACGGGTCAACGTATGCGCCCTCCAAAACTCACCACCAATCTTGGAGACGTATGATGGCAACTGAAGCCACCTCGAACATATCAGGGATAAAATCTAGTATTCAGGGCAATCAACGGGTCTGTAAAGGCTTGGGTCGTAAGATAATTATTGGTTTACTAACATGCGCGCGCAGATGAACATAATCGAAAATTCTTCCAAGTATCATGTCGCCTCAAGAGAAACAGACTTAAAGCGAAATGAGGCAAAACAATTTTCAGATCTCCTCGAACCAAGGACACTTTCCACAAATATTAGCATTAATGGGGGGTCAGATAGCGACACCTCTAAAGCCGAGACTGCTAAAACCGATGGTGAAGAAAAGGGTCATATCCGGACCACTTCAACTATAAGAAAACCAGCATCATTCAAACCAGTTTCTGTCAACAAGACCTTTCTAGCTGCTAAAGGATCTACCACTAATTTATCATCAAAAATTGGTGATAAGAGCCTCGTAGGCTCTTCGATATCCCAGACTATACCACTAGTCGGTGGTAACAGCGCAAGACCTCGATTGGTAGCTAAGACAGGGCCTGGCCTCAATGCAGTACCAAGGACCGTAGCTGCTGTAAATGGTGGTAAGGCTGGAGGAGCACCTGATGCCAGCGCTGTATGGAACAAAAATAGACGTACGTGGATACCGAAATTTCTCAATCAATCACTTGCTAATTATTCCAGCTGCACCAGCGCCAGAACCTAAAACATTTACCGATGAAGAGCTGAAGCAACAGTATGGAATCCATCTAGCAACGAGGCTACAGACCGATGATGTGGGAAAGCAAGCCAATTGGGCGGATATTGACGAGGATGATGAGGAATGGGCACCTAATACGATGGAATGGTCAGACGGAACTAAAGTCACCTTGCCACAGTCAAATAGTGCACCTAAAGATATACCACAACCTCCTCCTCCTCCACCAATACCTGAGCCAGAGGAAAATGTAAAGTTTAAAGAGAAACCTGTTTCTGAGCCTCTCAACCTTAAATCGCAAGGAAAACCCCTTCAAGCTACTAATGTGTCATCGCTTAAGCCAAATATATTTTCGGGTAGATCCGGGCTTGTACTAAAGGCTGCAACTGAAAAGTCTACTCTGGTACCCAAGCCACCTGGGCCTCCACCTCCAACTAAGTCTCCCTGGGCACCACTACCACCAGTAGATAAAGTAGCTCCGATAGTTTCTGAAGTTAGTCAGGCACAGTCGCAGCCAAATCGCTACGCTCAAAAATCAGCTCAATCTTTTACAAATAACCCAGCGCCTGCAGCGAAGGAAATAGCAGCCGACGATTTTAGTCGATCATGGCGAGACTCCCCAATTGCCGGTAGAGAACTGTACAATGCTCAGTCTGGGAGATATGAACCGGCCAACGACAGTCGAAAAAGCTCCTCTCGCTCAGATCCAAAGTCTGTTCAGCCTGCTGTGCTACAAAGGCCCCAACAAGAGAACTCTATCGAAACCTCAAATACTACTCAAAATAACCGAGCCGCTACTCAAGACATCCAACCTCGTAGAACAGCTCCTTCCGATTCTGGTGGAGCACCTGAAATCATTTTTCGAAGAATGAGTCGAGGAGATGTACCTCCCATACCTGAGCTACTGGCTCTGAGAAAAAGATCTCAAGCTCCCGGAACTGATGGGATAGCCTCGCCTGGTGGGCTTGTTTCATCCATTCCACAGACATCGCAACGGAATAATCAGAATCAAACGTGGCAATCACGTGCTGCAACCTTAGCTAGCCAGTCCTCTCATTCAAGGCAAGGACAGACAGCTCCGGCCACTCCGATAAGCTCAGGCAATGTTGCCTTAAATTCGCCTGCTGATTTTGAGGATCCATTCGAAGTACAAAAGAAAGCCATGCAGGTTAAGCGTGAATTAGCTATTGCTAGGAGGCGAGATGAAGAAGCAAAAGAAGAGGCCGAGAGAAAAGAACGTATCCGAATCAAACTAGCCTCGATGGGGCTTCCCGTAGAAAAGGAGCAAAAAACTTCGTCAAAAGAAGAAAATACGATTCCTCAAGTTCAGACTCCAAAGACTTCTGATATAGATCCAGTACAGCCCAAGAAAGATGTGCAGGAAGTCCCCATTAAAGCAAATTCGAATAATTCAGACTCAAAGAATCAAAACTCTCTCCCCTCTACCGACGAGCCTAACCCTGTAGATAAACTTGCACCCTCTCGATCATCGACACATCAACCTCAAAAAGGCACATCGCAAGCCCAAGGATCTCAAGATGCCCGCAGTTCTCAATCCTGGCAGGGGAACTCGACAGATAGATTTAAACCATGGGCTCCTACTCCTGCACAACAACCCACATCGCGAAACGTATGGGGTCCCCCTACTAATGATCGTACCCTTGGAAACGGAACTTTTAATTCAGAACTTGGTAGAATACCGGAGATTTCTTCTCATCCAGGCCCCATAGGCCCACTAACCTCGAATCGCGTGACTTCTCATGGACAACATGAATATGGCACAAGGCCAGCCCCAATTGCGCCACCAAATAGAAGGCAAAGTCAAGGCCTACCAAAAGATTCCGCTATTCTCTCTGCCGTTGTCAATTCTGGTTGGACTTCTCTCCCGAATAATATTACTGAAGATGACGCGAGAAGGGCCAAACGACAAGAACTTGAAATAATTAGGGCACGAGAATCAACAGAAAATATTCTAGTCATAGATCCCAAACCCCCTGTTGTTCACGATACTTGGCGTCAGGTCTCCATGAAGGAAGATGGGTGTCGTAGTAAAATACAGTCTAGCCATACAACTATTCATAACGAACAGCCTCACTCATGGAAACCTCAAGAAGAACCTATTCAAAAAATTATATTTGAGGAGCACCCAGATGCACAACGTCTACCTCACGACACATTTACCGCTCAGCCTCACTTTAGCAACGCCTGGAGATCATCCAGTGTTAGTACGGCTCCTACTCGTGGCTCTCGGTTCTTTCCCAACAACAAGGATATTCGGTTCGAAGAACAAAATCTACCAATCGAAAGACCCGGATCTCCTTGTCTACCTCCACCCACTCAGAAAGGTCACCCTGTCTACGATGGTGACGCCACAAATCCTCATGTTTCCCTTCCTCGCCCTCTGCCAATCGTCAAGCTTCCACCATCTAAAGAACCAGAGCCCATCAAACCTCCAAAGCCTATCTCCTTTGCAGCAATTGTCGCAACGCCAGCTGTTCCCGCTATCAATCGTACCAGCTCGCGACCCACATTAAGACCTAATTTCCCCGAGCCTACCCGACGAGAACCAGTTGCAGGCAACTGGCAAGATAAAATTAATACGTTGATAGGTCGCAAAAGTTCAGTCAAGTCTAACTCACTAGCTGTAGACTCTTCTAGCAAGAAAGCACTCGAGGTTCCTCAACAGCGGTGCTCTGCTACCGTATCTCTTCCATCACTGGCTCTAGGTGACTTGGCTGTGGACATTGGATCGGTGGAATCTAAGCCAGCTGCTGAGGTCTGTTTTGAAGAGCAAGAGATGGGCTCTCTTCCTCCAGTAAGGATTCCAGTTAAGCCCCCCACGGCAGCTTGGGACCTCGCACTGCCCCCTAAACCACTGCCGAAAAAGTTTGCAGTTTCGCAGATCACCACTGCTGAACAATATTCCTTCACACCAGCTATAACCAACAATAGTTTCTCTCTTACCATTAAGATCCCCGGAAAAGAAGAATCGAAAGACGTCTTGATCTATACAAGTAGACAGAAAAGTAACGCTAGACGCACCGGTACTCGAGGAGGTGGAAACTCACGTCACTCGTCTCAGCAAAAGAACCGAGGTCGTGATTCCTCTGATAATTATCAACCAACGAACAACATAGAACATCTTGTAATATCCCCTGGGTCCAGTGCTACTATCCGCGGCCGAGGCCGAGGATACAGGAATAACTGGAAGCGAAATCATATGACTCCAGTTCATACATGATTCCTTGCCCCCCAAACTACTCAGCCAGCTTGGACTTTAAAGAAGCTGGGTGCAATGTTGTTGTAACGATAACTTCTTTTTTCTATGCAAATCGAGCCCGGGATTACCTGGCACTAAAGCTAACCTGTGCCTCGTAACTGATCGTCTCCAGGTTTCTCTACCTGCCATATCTTCTTACCATATTTGGAATTCTTCTGGAGTCTCGTGTGTCTATTTATAATCTATTCCTGTTGGCCTTGCGATAGAAGTGGTACGTGATTCAATACGCTTAACACGCAGCAAGAGCTTGAGGGTTTAATAAATCTATCTAAAATCGATAGGTATAGTCTATTTCAATTAAGTGCTTATTGTCTCTTTGAGGACCAAGTCGACTTGGCGGTGATATTCTGGTCTATGATTTGATAGCCAGTAAATTTTTAACGGCATGAGCGATAAACTAGACGGAAATAACAATCGACTTTTAGCTATGGTTAATATCACAAAATTATTAGATTTTCATTCTTTTTCGAAAAAGGTCACACGTGCTATAAAGTCCTGGCATAAGTAAAAGCGAAGCGATCCCTGCACAATCGTCCGATAACCAATCCCTCTTTCTTAGAAGCACATATGTAGTGCCTGCTAGAGCTTCCCGCTTCGCCCTCTGACTTCTTCTAAGATACTGCCCTTCCCTGCATATCATACAGTCCTAGTTATTATCCGGCCATAGATTTACGAGCCAAATTTTGAGAAGGCTAGATGTCCCCTGCAAAATTGCTGTAATGTTAAGATCAGATTTTTACATCGGAGTTATGTGAGGTATATGGCTATAAAGCACGCCTGATTATAGAGACTAGAAATGAGGGGACTCGGCGCATGATTGATGTGATCTTTTTATCAGTCGTGATGATTAGAAACATAGTAAAGCATGATACCTGCTAGTCGACGAGAAATCGGGGGGTACTTCATAACGTCTTCATTCTAAAATACTACCTGATGGCAAGGTAGCGCATCATTTTCAAAGTGCGGTGAATTAAACATGAAATAATTAAAGCGTTTAGGCTTTTAGACTAGCAAACAGATCAAAACTGTAAATAGAAATCACAAGGCTCTTCCCTTAGGTATTACTAAGTTGAACTAGGATAAGCAGCTGGCAAAGCTCGCTAGAGGTCATCTGTGGCTCTCAAAGGACCCACTTACAAATGTCAAATGTCCAAAAAGCAAGCGTCAATTACGGCCTCTTATGGATGGCAAAGGTAAAATTCTCAAAATGACTGGGGTTGGATCCCTGTACATATTGCCTTAATTGGTATGATCTTCATGCAGGCCCATGTCTAGTTACTCGATAAGTTATGCAAGCAAGGGGTACTATCCAATGACATTTTGTGAAAGTCTAAATAATGGGGATGGTTTTGAACTCAATAGGGAAGGTACAATGGTCCTCAGTTGAAATTCAAAATTGAAAAAAATCAATTGATATTCCCTAAAAATGCACATCTATTTCAAAAATTATTGCTCTGTATTACAAAAGTCTACATCGAAGCCCTCAGTATGGCTCGCAACTAAAATGAAAGCGGACTACATGTTTTGTGTGTCTTGTCCATCCTAGTACTTTGCGTACCCTCCATTTGCCTTTATCACTGCTACACATCTTTCGTGCATGCAACCAACTAGTGACAATAGCTCCTCAGAAGGTATAGAGTCCCATGCATCCTGTAGCAATGTCTTTGACGTGGCAGAGCGCACAAGCCTGACCCCATTTTTCTCAGGACTATTTACCTGAATGTGGTTTTTCAAGATGTTCCACAGTGACTCGATCGGGTTCAGGTCCGGAGAGTAAGGTGGCCATCTAATAGGCGTTATTCCAACTTCACACAGCGCCTCAATTGTTGAGTACGCTTTATGACATGGTGCGTTGTTGTGCATGTATAGAATTTCTAGATTTTCGATGTAAAATTGATTGAAAAGAGGCAAAATCCTTTCACGCAAGGATGAAGCCCTCATTGATCACAATCCTTCTCCCAGACTAGGAATGGGCCTTTTTGTGATCCATAAAATGACCCCCAAAACATCCAACTATTTCCATGAACGCGATGAGCCACAATACAAGTCTCATCAAACTCATCAGGCTAAAATCTGCTGTTAGTACAAGGTTTTGATAGAATTTAAACGTACTTTTCTTGTGACACGAGGTTTCATGTGAGAATCACCCAATACCCAGGTTCCATCAGCCCATATTGTGCGACTCCATTGTTCATCGCTCTAATCTAAATATAATTGGGCAAACTCCAATCTTTTCTGCTTGTTAACCGCGCTTAACGGAGGCTTCTTTCGAGAAATGCATCTGCTGTAACCTCTTTTTTTGAGTGCATTAGAAATTAAACGTTCACTGCATCCCCAGTGGCTGAAGGGCCCCATGAATAGTTCCAAATAGCACGTCTGTCGATTTTCAGGAGACTCCCGGACGAAAGCCTCAAGCTCATCAGCTTGTTCCGCGCTTAATTTTGGTAAGGGTCCTTTGCGAGACATAGGATTCTCAGTCTCTCGAGCACACGCAAGTTGCACTTGTCTTATTGTGAGGCCAAGTTTGTCGGATATATTTTGAAGTGTCAAGCCAAGTCTTCTTAATGCTTTTATTTCGATACATTGATCGCGAGTTAGATGCTTGCGAACTTTAGTTTCTGAAGCAGACTTTTCGAAAGACATTTTTTGCTAGAATAGAGGATGAATTGATAGTGGTGTGGAGTTTCAATGACTGCGTAGGCTAGGCAGCCAAAAATGCCGTTGAAAATGTGTTTTTCTAAGCGATTATTGGTAGAAGACGATTGTACCATACTTCATGGCGAGCGGAGTAAGGAGGAGAGATAAACTAACCTATTACGAGCTAGCCCAACTGCGCCTACAGGGCTAATCCCTTCAACGACCCAGTTTGAAGTTTTACCTTTTGGAACCTAGAGGCACTGTAGGTGGTCCGAAATATCATTATAGACAGTTTTGTTGGGTTATTCGGTATTTCAATTTTATCGTGACAACTAAATATGAGAATAGAATAGAATTTTATTCATGTCCCTACTAAGTCTATGACTATGAAGGAAAGCTAAAACTATCTAAATAGCTTTAAAGTTAATAGTAAATTTATATATTGTTATGCTCAATTTTTGCACTAAATATGAGATATTTCAAGGAAACTTGATCTATTCCCCTTACTCCCTTCTTTAGGGCGGACGGGCCTCGGGGTATAATGCACTAACCATCTACGAATTACCTAGTTTCTTGCTCAGAAACGAACTCTTTACCAAGATCATCCATACTCTCTGGAATCTAGAAAATCTCTTAATCTGTTTAGCACTGAAATATAGAGTTTGGATAGACGAGAACTGTTAAGCTTGCCACTAGATTTTCACCGAGCTCGTGAGACCACTGGAGTTGAATATTGTTAAATATTGGCATTCAACCTGATGGTTGGATAGTATATGTCACAATCCATGGGAGGTATGAAATTGAGATTTCTACGATAGATTAGAAAGATCTCTCAGCTCTTTCACAGGAGAGCGGGCTATGTTACTGGGTAAACCTGAATGACAATTTAAGGCATGAAACTTGCGTTATATAACGCGTGACTTGGTAATATTCTGCATGGGGACGAGATTTTGTAATGCAACGTAAATCCATTATCCTATCATTTTCGCTCAGGTTCCGAGAATATGTTTATTTTAAGACTTAAGTGTATTCTACTATCAAGTTATGACACATGCTCCGTGCTACGACGCATGCATGTTGGATGACTCTTATGACATTAAACACAGTTCTCCCCTGGATATCATTTGCAAATATCACTGTAAGGTATGTTTGCTTACAAAAATAGTCGACCCTCCTCCGTGAGTATCCACCAAAGGGACGTTTAAAAACCTTTAATTATCCAAGAATACCTTTGTCATCCATGTAAACTTGCACCGCGAGAAATTTAGATGAGTTTTGCCGGATTCGAACCAGAGATCTACTGTCTCGATTGGGATGTGTCCTAGCTATCCAGACCTTAACGTTGTTTGCAATGACTGGAGTATTGCACTTGCAGTATTCAATGGGTCGTTGTGAGTCAAAGAGGGATCTGACTTGGCCCTATTATGGAGACATCCGAGGTCAAACAGTATAAGAGATCCGGCGATAAACTATTTATTTCCAGATACCTACATGTATAAATTATATCTAAAGCCTATGTGAATAGCAGCTGACTTTATGAAAGTGACTAGACTCTGACATTCCGTTTTTTACCAGCAGTTGATGAGGTAAAATTTTGTGAGGATTCAGAACACATTTTGGGTAGGACACCGCTGTCGAGGGAGTTGTGGTCAAAGAGTGTGATTACTTCATTGTGTGCTGAGTGGTCATATTTGTTGGTAAATTGACGTACGAGGCATGACAGTCGTGCAATCAATTGACGATTTTCTACCCGACATCACTCACGCCGCCTTAGCATTTAATCAATTTCTATCATCATCTAGCCTTTCCCTCCCCTCCTCACCGCAATCTCGACGCGTCCTGACGTTGAGATTGTCCTCAATGAACCACAAAAAGTACACCTCCACCCACACACCACTATGGCAGGAGGACGAAGGCTGAATACCTGTCATTGGTGTCCTCTACGAACCCCGAAGTGAGATATTCTCCCAAAGCTGAGATTCAGTCATGAAAAAGGGTGGAATGAAATTTATTTGATGGATTGTCGACTTGAAGGAGTTGCACTCGATATTTTGGTCGAAAAATCAGTCGGCAGAGATTTCACAGCCGTAACAAAGTCGAACAAAAACTTATCACCACCAACATACGATTTAAGAATGGGCTTAGGTCTTTTTAGGGGTCGTATTTTAGCAAATAACATCTCTCCAACTCCTTTTGTATTTGCGACGAAGCATTTCTCAGTAGATCCTATACCTACGACCCGTCTTCATACTCATCACATCACCTACCTAGACACGCCATAATGAGGAAAGTCATGATGGAAACGGGACGTGTATAAAGGAAAT